ATGTAAGAGGGTTCAAAATAGTGCCATTTTCTACACCTATACGCGGATGCAGTAAGGAGATCTCCAATACCAAACGTTCCCTGATGATTTACGACGGTAACGCTTCAGCTGTTAACAGTTTGTCTGCGAAACATAAGGACAAGGTCGAGCCAAACATAGACATCATCCTTAACTAATGTGCGCTTCCCCAAGGCCGTTGATAGATGCCACAAGCGGTGAATATTAGGATAGAAGTCTTTAAGAAATGTCTAATTCGCTCTCCTCCACCACCTACGTACAGCCATGGAACTGCCACCAGGTTGAAGGAAGCATTAAGTTGGGCTGAGCATATACATTCACGCCTGAAGGTCAGCCAATACCAAACAAGACCAAAGTTCGTCGTGGTCATGTAACAAAGCGTTACACAGGACTAAAATGTATCATCGACATAAACTCCATAGACGATCCAATATCTGTTTGGTCGAAAATACTAAAAAAAATGGAGTCTATAAAACTCTAGCATGCTATGATCAGTGTTTGCCGACACTCAAAAAGAGATCACTTTTTGGATGTAAAATTGTTAAAACTCAGCTGAACTGCAATAAGTCCGCATATCCTTATGAATATTATTAAAATGCAGCAGAACTTGGTGTCAATCTGCAGGTCAACTGTATAATGTGCTTCAAAATTAGCTCTTACAAATGAGCAAAGGGGCCGTCCACTTTACTAAATAAGCTTCCGATTCCAGCTATAATAAAAAAACATCATGATGGAATGGAAACAGTTAAGCTAAAGAACTATCGACAATAGATATTAGATACCTTGCATTTTGCATTAAATTTAATGGTGAAATTGCCGTAGAAAAAGCAGTCGGATTTTATGGGATGGGAATTGAAGAGATTTCGCCAATTGTTTAAGAGAATGCTCTTACAAATACTAAACTCCATAAGCTTTGACAAGGCAGGAAAATATTGGAAGTTTATTGGTTTATACAGTAGGTATATTCTGGCCGAAGTGCTTTGGCCCCAACGGTCATCCTCTTAACACGATGAAGCGATTGGGTAGGTGTTTCAGCCTTTCAGCAAGCAACGTAAATGGATCATTGCATACAAATGCAAACAAGTAACTTATGCCTTTAAGCCGTCTTTATGGGAAAGGCCAAAAACGGGGATATTGATGCTAAATATTGGTGGTCCAGAAACAACCAAAGACGTGTTTTACTTCCTTTTGCGGCTCTTCAACGACCGTGATTTGCTTCGGGTGCCTTTTCAGAGGTTTGAACAATTTTTTTTACAATGAGTAGGACGTTTGCTTCATGGATTGCTCGTCGTCGCACTCCTATACTGCAAGAAAAGTACGACGAAATTGGTGGCGGTTCTCCACTTATCCAGTGGGCTACTTGCCAAGGAAAAGGGCTGATTCGCGCGTTAGACAATATTAGCCCAGAAACAGGCCCTCACAAGTACTATCTTGGCATGCGATATGTTCATCCACTTACAGAAGAAGCAATTAATGACATTGAGGCGTAAGTACGTGAAATCTCCAGTGGTGCATTTCGCTAATTAATTACTATTACCGCTATGTTCTTATATTGGATTTTAGTGATGGCGTGGAGCGCGTTGTGGCATTCAGTCAGTTTCCGCAGTACAGCTGCAATACCTCCGGCAGTAGCTTTAATGCCATTGCTGCACACTATAACGAACCTGGTAGCAGTGGTCTAGCTGGCATTGATTCCATACCACCACCCAAGTCTCAGACTGGTAAGGTTCCCCGACGTCCTGGTACTATTTGGTCATTCCTTGATCGGTGGCCCACAGCTATGCCCGAATTCGCGGAGGTGGTGGCTGAGAATATCCGTCATGAGCTCTCCCATCTGCCCCCAACTGTTAACAAGGAAAATACCATTATTCTATTTAGCGCTCATTCTCTTCCAATGCAGATCGTAAATCGTGGTGATCCCTATATTCAGGCAAGTCCTCTTTGCATTCTATTCAGATAGCAGTATGTTGTCTTTGTTCCTTCTGATCTAATACACCATGACCCTCTAGGAGGTATCAGCAACAGCTCACGCGGTGATGGAGAAACTGAATTTTGCACTGCCCTACCGGCTGGTGTGGCAATCGAAAATAGGGCTGGGACGTTGGATGGGACAGGACATTGCAAGCGCTCTGCGAGGGCTTGCTCGTCTTGGTCAAAAACATGTTGTCATTGTTCCAATTACCTTCACCACTGAACACGTTGAAACCCTCCACGAGCTGGACATTGAGTACTGTTCAGACTTGGCTAGAGAAGTTGGCATGGTCAGCGTTCGACGAGCCTCCGCCCCCAATGATCATCCCCTGTTCATTCAGGTATCCTTTATTGCATTTTCCCTGTCTTATTGATTGCGCTGCAAATGTTTTAGTCAGGAATCTGTGTTTTAATGTACATAAGTGGAAGGATTTGTTTAAGATGCATAACTGCGTTGTCAGGGCGTACTTGCTTGAACTAAGAATTGAAATGTACTTATCTTGCGAGCGCAGGGTTAAAACGATAAAACATAGATGTTAACCTTAAACGGTGGTCACAAATTGGATGCCAACTAAAACTTT